GTCTGACCTCTGTGATTGCCAACAAAGGTTTTGCCACCAAGTACTAAAGCACGTTTTGCAAAGGGATCAAATACGTATTTCATTCATGAAAATGTAAATTACTTTATAACTTTTTTTGTAATGCATTTTTCTGGATTTTTTTGTTATTGTTGTGTCTCTCACTGTTTAAATAAACCTACCATTGAAATTGTAGACTGATCAATTCTTTGTTAGTGGGCAAACTTACAAAATCAGCTGGGGTTCAAATAATTTTTCCCCTGACTGTAAATGTTTCCTGTTAGTTATTTGATTTCCCTCATCAAAATAAAAAAGAAAGACTTGCTGTGTTCACATCATTCTTCTTTCTTCTCCACCTCAGAGGCAGCACTGGCCTGCTTGACAGTGGACCCCTCTATAATGCTGATGGTCGTGGGGGTTCTCATGTTCATCCTCACCTTCTGTGGCTGTGTGGGTGCCCTGCGGGAAAATATCTGCCTCCTGCAGACAGTAAGTCAGGAGTTTTTCAACTGCCGGGTGTTAACGTATTCTGCAGAAATAATCTTTTGAGGAACTTTGATTTACAGACATTGTAACAGTGCAGAAAGACATGCTGTATAACATGTAGTAGGGGTCAAAGGTCAGATTTGACTCCACAAAGTCAGGATGCCTCGTGAGCTACCAGATCCTCTCATTGTTACAGACCGAGTGCCATCAAAACTGAGGCACATGGAAACTGTCTTTAGCTAATTATTCATTCATTCATTTTCTACCGCTGAGCGGGGTCACGGGGGGTGGAGCCAATCCCGGCTGGCAATCGGGCGAAGGCAGGGTACACCCTGGACAGGTCGCCAATCTATTGCAGTCTATAGCTGATTACCTTTTACATTTTAAGCCCTGGCCCAGTTGCTTTTAGGTTTCTTGTTTTTTTCTGCATATATATTCTCCAAGCAGGAGAGGTGATGAACAACAGCTGAGTTTCCATAGACACACAGGATCTCATAGAATCTGAAGAATTAACTCAAAACAGAAGGCTTTTTCCTGTTGTGTAACAATGTCTCTCTTTCCATCACAGTTCTGTATCTCCCTGACAGTGATCTTCATACTCCAGCTCATCGCTGGGATCCTGGGCTTCATATTCTCAGATACGGTAATGAAACAATATGAAGGATTTTTTTCAGTCAGATTAATTTCTCTATCAGATTAATGACCGCACCTGCACATTAAATGTTAATTTGTTCTGTTATTGTTTTTAATAGATTGAATTGTTATTGGTGGATTTTAGCTAAGACTCACACATCATATTAGAATAGATATCATCTTTAAGACAGTAATGCTTTACATATCAACAAATAAAATTTAATTTGATTTCATCAATATTAATGTTCCTTGAAAATCATGCTAAATTTGTTTATAGACTCTTTCTTGGCCTGCTGCTGTGCTTTGTCTGATTCAAACAGCAGTTTGCTCACAGGCAGGGTGGTTAAATGTGTTTGTTCTAGGGATAAGAAGAAGTTGGATGTATAGTTCTCCTGTATAACAATCATAAAGCCAGCTTTGAGTTTGTTTAGAAAATATGCAGATATGCTCTCACCCTTCACCATACTGTTCAAATCAGCTAAATGCACCTTTATTAGGGATTCCATCTGTCCTACATTTTATATCATATAACCGTCAGATTTTGTGTCTTTTGGTTCATGCTACTAAGCTACTTTTTCCACACTCTTCCAAGGCTCGAAGTAAAGTGACTGACATGATCAACAATGCCATCATCCACTACAGAGATGATATTGACCTGCAAAACCTTATTGACTTTGGGCAGATGGAGGTAAGGATTTAGTCCAACTGCAGACTTCATGCCATACATACTGAGGCCATGATCATTCTTCATTATAAATACCAGGTTAATCCATGCCTTAAAGTTTTGTAGCAATATACTGTACAGTACGTATACAGATACCTGGCATATCTTTTCATTGATCTCATCTCAAATGTATGTCATTTCAGTTTGACTGCTGTGGCGGTGTGATGTACACTGATTGGTCCCAGAACATGTATTTCAACTGCAACATCGTTAACCCCAGTACAGAACGTTGCTCTGTCCCCTTCTCCTGCTGTATCATATCAAAAGAGAAGGTCATCTACTTTACAGACACTGGTGTTAATATTTTTGTTATGTTATGTATTTTATCAGTATATGTCTCTGTGCAGGTGGTCGTCAACACGATGTGTGGTAAAGGCATGCAGGAACTGGTGTACCATGAAGCTGGAAACCACATCAACACCAATGGCTGCATAGACAAAATGGTTAACTGGATTCACAGCAACCTGTTCCTCCTCGGAGGAGTTGCACTGGGACTGGCTATACCTCAGGTAGGATGTTTTGCAGAGCACAAATACCAGTACACATGCATGTTTTTCTCAATATTGTGTTTTCTCTTCTGCAGCTGGTTGGCATCCTCCTGTCTCAGATTCTGATCAATCAGATCAAAGACCAGATTGAGCTTCAAAACTACAACTTCAATCACCGCTCTGACCCATGGAATTGACCCGGGGCAGACTAGACCAGATTGTGATGAACAGCACCAGAAGAATGGTGACCCCTGAAACTGCAGGAAGATGAGTAGAACTATGTATGCCAGGTCTATGAAAAAACGTCAGTCTGGTATGAGCATTCACCTCTCATTCTGCTTGGATTAAAAAAAATACACACAAAACCCAAATTAGACAAACGTGTGGACAAACCAATAATGTGCTTTCAATTACTTGGAAGTAAGTACACCCAAAGGGAACAGATGGAGAAATAGGACTCTGTCGCCACCTACTGGACATAGGTCATGCTTGCATTTATCAAACACCGCACATCACATTTATAAACATTTCACTCCCAAGCAGGGGCAGAGGGGGTATTTGGTGCTTGGGGTCATATTGACCAAGTCATATTTCACTTTATTAGGAACTGCAGTCAGTATAATCTACAGCAAGTGCTATTTTATCATTACTCTTATGAAGATGCCAAATAGGAATGAGAGTAAGAACATCCATGTATCCTTATTCCTACAAATGCTAACTAACTAAAAAGGGAATAGTATTTTGTCAAACTGATTGTTTTGCAGACTGGAATGTCTTCTTCATGGACAGCAAGGCTGCTTATTGTTGCAAGCACGTGTGGGGTGATTCTGACAATTGATATTTGGTGCTTTTATTCATGTTATCAAAGTGAATCTTATAATCTGCATTTTTTTTTTTTTTTTTACTTTGTAGTCTAGTGTGTTAAACGGCCATGCCAGCAGACACGTTACATTTCTGAAGATAAAAGCATGAGCAATGCACCTACACCACTTGGGATCAGATTTTCAACACTTTCACAAGCCAATTTGTTAAAATAAACATTTGCCTGTGGATACCAGAAATGCCTTGTACCACTGTTATTTTGTAATAAACTTTTTTTACGCAGTGATTTTTACATGTGTCAAATGATTGATGTAGTCACTACATGGCAAGTTTGTATTTTGTGAAATATCAGTGAGCAGACAGGGGTTGTGTGACTGACTAGGTACTAAAAACAAATCTTGCCCACTCTACTTGTTGTCTTGTACCAATTAAATCTGATTTGCTCTGACAGTAAAGAAAAACTGTCTAGGATTTGGTTCAGCATGGTCATAAAGGTTTAGTGCATTTTCTGTGAAATACATCCACAGCTGTAAATGTCAGCATTCAGTTTACCGTTATGTAATATTTTGAGGCAAGTCTTGTGGGTTTTTTTTTTACTGGAGAGGTGTCATTTGACTAGAGATGGTTCCACTCATTACCCAGAGAAAATCAGGCCGAAATTCTGCTGTCACTGTGAAGAAACATAACAGAATCATCTCATCTCCACCCCATTTCTCTGCCTGGCAAATGAAAACCTGAGCTGTGAGGCATCTTCAGCTTGAAACCTGATGCCTGTAATCTTTGGGAGCAGAAACAGTCCTGCGTGGTTAACAGCCTACCAGAGACAAGTCCGCAATCTAAACATGATATTTGTGTTAGTTTAAAGCTGTGGTTACTCTCTTTTCTGTGATTTTTCTGTTTAGCACACAACAGAATCTACTGATGGCACAAAGAAGTGAAAGCACTCTTTGGAGGTGTGACATGCTATTATATAGTAGAAGCAACTGAGTACAGTGAAGAAGTTTAAACCATGGTTTACGGCTCTGTAGCAGTCTCAGGATAGTGAGTGTGTTTTGTGTGCAAGTGAGAGTGAGTGTGTGTTGGCCCGAGTTTCAGTGCTCTGTGTGTGGTCTTTGGTTTTTTTTTTCCTCTGACTCACTCAGGCAGCCATGTTGTTGTGGGTTTTAAGGAGGCCCAGACAGACACACACAGAGGAGGGAGCAGGGTTAACCCAGTTTTACGCTCAGAACACCAGGGGAGAAACAGCATTTGCAACCATGGAAAGTAAAGTGATAACAACAGCACCAGGGTGGAGAATCAGTCTTGTTCTAACTGGTACTGGCTAATGTATCACAATGATACAAAATTCACATTATTTAATAGACACAACAAATGTGATTTTGAAAATAGTGGTTTTGAATATTTTTGCAGCCACCTTAATCGGGTAGAGGAAGCCTAGTCCATTATCACCGTCCCAATGGAAACTGATTTAATGTAGTTTTGAGCTACCTTCACTCTCTCCCACACACACACACATATACAGTACACTTGCACACTGCCAGTCTGGGGAGTGGGGTGAAGTGTGTTTATGCACGCATCTTCTGAACTATCCCCAGAAACAAACATCATCAGTGCAGAACAGGCCATAAGTACAGTGAGTTTACTTCAGTGTATATATAACTCTAGGGCTTCAGAAGTAATTGGACAGATACACAAGGTCAAAAGAAATCATCATATTTAATCTCTTTGGCTTTAGTCTGCTCTTCAGCAAGTGGAATGGAACTCAATCACACTGAGATCAGGTGATTGACTCAACTAGCTGAGGATATTCCACCTCTTCACCCTGAAAAGCTCTTTGGTTGTTGGACCGTGTGTTTAAGATTGCAGCCCTGCTGAATGAGGGAAGCTCTTCCAATGCATTTTGATGTATTTGGCTGAATCTGAGCATGCACACTCACACCCACAATGCTCCTGTATACCTCTGCACCCTGTTAGTTCAGTAAGCAGTAAAATGCCAGTGTGCCAGTTCTGTTGGCAGTCATACATGCCTAAGCCATAACAGACCCACCATCTTGTATGACAGATGAAGTGGTTCTGATGGCTATGGGTCATAAGCTGTTCCCTTGTTGCTCCCACTTTTGTTTTCCATTGTTTTGATAGAGGTTGGTTTTTGTTCCATTAATCCACAGATAGAATAGAATTAAGTTTCATAACTCTACTGGTTTCTTTTGTATATTTTTCTGAACTGCTGTTGGGAACTTCATTTTCTACTTTTCCTGTGAGCACTTGCTTTTTTAGAATGTGCCCAAATGTTGATTTTGGCAGATCACAGATCTTCATGTCCTTTTTTTTCTTCACTTACATGGTCACCTCTTTACTCCCCAGACAAGTCCACTTTTGAGTTCTATTTGAATGATGTGACATTGAAATGACACACAACTGGATAAGGATAATCACCTTTATTGGCCAAGTACGTTACACACAAGGAATTTGTTTCCGGTACAGAACCGATGGCAGCCATTTGCGGCGCCACCTCAACCAATGGGTCAACCTATGGGTACTCTCTTTGTATGAAGCTATAAAATTAAAAACAATGTTGACTCTTAAATACTTCAATTAAAGCTGAGACTGCAAACTTTAATATGGTGTCATTAAGCAGTTTGAACTGTATATAATTTATATAGCTCTTTAATTTAATCCCTTTACCTTTTGTTTTGTTATTTCATATATTTATCTTTAACTGTTTTTATCTCTTAACCTTTATTTGTTGCTGTAGCATGTGGATGTTAATCAAGGATGATTAGAAGATAATGTATTAGAACATCTTAAGAAAATGCAAAGCATCATCAACACCCCACTGACATTAATTTTGACAAACAATTTTAAATGCAGTTACACTTTAAATATATCTATTTTAATGACTGCTCTATTACAGCCTCTGTATATGTTTTGGGAGATCAGTAGTTTCCATAAGGTCTTAGGGGAGTTTCATAAAATGAGAAACATATCAGCTTCATTTGAAGTTGACAATGATGTTGTATAAGATCCTGCAGGTGTATGGATCAGCACCAACTACAAAACTCTTCTTACAGTAAGATGAGGGTCCATGTATGGGGGTGCCTTGAGATGAGAAACTCTGAGAAAGCCAAAAAGGCACATTCTTCCACTTGCAGAGGGGGATGGGAGGGGACGTTTTGGAGCTCTGGCTCTCCCCACCATGTGCATACTAGAGACAAAACATAACCAGCGGCAGAGCTGCAGCTCTCAGGAACACAACAAAGCCCAGAAACCTCTCATCAGACACTTCACGGGGAGAAAAACCACTTCCTGCGACACGTAGAGAGAAATGGGATCATTTATCATCTAACTTTTCTGCCAGCAGAAAAGAGGGGGGCTATGGAGAAGGGGGTGGTGCATCTGACCTAGAGATCCTATTACAGAGTTTTTATGGCAAGTTTTTTGGAAGTGGGGGAGGGCGAATCTACAACTTTGTCGGCCTGATGTGTTTTTCATATCCAGCCTAAACGCTTCAGAAGAATACGTTGTATGGTTTTAAGTTGAATCTCCAACTTTTATATATTTGAAGGCACTTTTGGAGCTGCTGGAGTTTGGATAATGAAAGTCGGTAGTATCCAGCAGGGACCGGACGAGAAGTGCAGGATAAAAAAGTTTGGGAGGACTGCGGGAAAACCCTGAAGCGCGCCGCAGCTTTTCCTCATTATGCCGCATCTGCAAACTTACTCGAAATCGAATGAAGAAAACCTCATCTGTGGATTTCTTGGGAAGAACTAGAATACAAAGTAATCAGAGTCTTTTTTCTCCTTTAGTTGATTCTCTCTCCCAAGATGTCTTCCCAGGGTTGCAGCCCTATTGTTGGATTTTATGGGATGCTCTGCGTCTGGACTGCCTGGCTTCCAGGCTCCGGGGCAGTGTTGTCGCAGAACGGAACGATATTTGAGGATAACTGCAAGAAAACGACAACGTGCGAAGCACTTAAATACAACGCATGCCTGGGATCGTCTCTGCCATATACACATACTTCTCTGATCCTGGCAGAGGACTCCAGCACCCAAGAAGAGGCTTTTGAGAAGTTGACCATGTGGTCTGGTAAGATTTAATGGGATCGGGAGATAAGCCTTCTTTAGGACGCTGTAACACATGTTGTAGGTATATAGCATGTAGCTCTTAATTATTACTGATAATAAAATTTGAAAAACAAACAAAAACTATAGTAACAACAGAGGAATGATAAATCCCAGCTGTCTCATGCTTTTAATTTGTAGTAATTAAATACCGTCACGACCAAAAATAATGGCACCGTTTCATTTCTGTCAGGTAATGCACCACTACTTTCAGAAATTTGTTTAAATTACAAATTCTTTGATATCCTCATATTTGTTTCTTTTGTTTGCACTGGAACAACAAAAAGCTGAGAAAAAAGCCAAATCTGATCCATCCAGAATTATTGACATCCTCAACTTAATATTTGGTAGCACACCCTCTGGACAAAATAGCTGAAATCAGTCACTTCCTCTAACCACCAATGAGTTTCTTACACCTTCTATACTGGAATTTTGGACCACTCTTCTTTTGCCAACTGCTCCAGGTCTCTCAGATTTGAAGGGTTCCTTCTCCCAGCTGCTGTTCTGAGATCTCTCCACAGGTGCTCTGTGGGATTTAGATCTGGACTCATTGCTGGCAACTTTAGAACTGACCAGCACATTGTCTGAAATCATTTCTGGTGCTTTTTGAAGTCTGCTTTGGGTCATTGTCCTGCTGTAAGACCCATCACCTCTGACAGAGACCCAACTTTCTAATACTGGCCCCACACTGAGCCCCAGACTTTGTTGGTAGTCTTCAGATTTCCTAATGCCATACACACAATCAAGACATTCAGTCCCTGAAGCAGCAAAACAACCCCAAAACATCAGTGAACCTCCACCTTGTTTGACTGTAGGGACTGTGTTCTTTTCTTTGAAGGCCTCCTTTTGTTTTCTCAAAACAGAAGAATGAGGTGCGCTACCAAAAAGCTCTACTTTAGTCTCATCTGTCCACAGGACATTCTCCCAGAGGGAATGTGGTTTCCTCAGGTAAGTTTTGGCAAACTCCAATCTGGCTTTTTTATGTTTGTGTCAGCAGTGGGGCCACCCTGGGTCTCCTACCACAGTGTCCCTTGTCATTCAGATGGCACGAGCTGACACTGCTGCACCCTTAACCCACCATTCAAACACTCCTTCATTCTTTCATTGCAGTCCGTCATCTCTTTTTCTCTTTCATCCACATCCAGGGAGATTAGCTACAGGGTCATAGGCTGTAGCTCCTTGACAATGTTGCCAATGCAAACAAATGATAAAAACATGAGAATATCAAAGAATTTGTGACTGCAACACTTTCCTGGGAGAAGTGGTGCATTATTTGACAGAAATGCAGGGGTGTCAATATTTTTGGCCATGACTGTATACAAAAAGCTTTTGTCACCATGTGATGAATGACCCGGATTTTGATGTGATAATAATGTGACAATGAGCTGTGATGAGACATCTTAAGTACTCGGGGGACAGGAATAGGAAGAGAACCTTGACAGAAAATGAAAGCTTAAAAGTCATTAAAGGAAACAAAAGGACTCACTCATAGGTGTTAGCGAAGGAACAATGGTGGAGTCCTACTTAAACAAGAGGTCTTTCACATTCATGACATTTCTCTAATGACCTGTCAGTCTCAGGTGACTGCATCACAGGTGTCAGGGCCTCCCAGTTTGCCCTAAAGAGCCTCATTTATTGTATATAGTTAATATGGCTATAGTGGCATTATGTCTTGTGTACCTATGATGATTATTAATTATCATTTTCAATCTGTTTGTTATTTTTTCAGTTATTCAGTTGTTGTGTCATCACATTGGAAGATTTTTCTCTATCACCATCAACAGTCCGCTAAATCTAACTCATGTCTAGTTCGACATTTCTCATGTCCAACTAGAACATCATACTATGTTTAAACCAGCTTTTGCATCCTAGGTTTGCGAAATGCTCCTCGCTGTTGGTCAGTCATCCAGCCTTTGCTCTGTGCCGTCTACATGCCTAAATGTGAGAACGGTCGGGTTGAGCTGCCCAGTCAGAGCCTGTGTCTGGCTACCCGTCGGCCATGCAGCATCGTGGACCAGGAGAGAGGCTGGCCAAACTTCCTCAAATGTGACAAGTTCCCTGTGGGCTGCTCGGTATGCGTCATTATTACTGTATGTAATGTCTTGGGATAGTGTATGGCTCCCTGAAGGCAAAAGGTTCATTTTCACTGCAGGATAGAGGTCAGGGTCAAGTAAAGAGTAGTGACTGTGCTTATTTTAGCAGGTGAATACATTCTGGTAGTGCTAAAGTGCTCACCTTTCCCACTGCATCCTACATGTGCAGAATGAGGTACAGAAGCTGAAGTTCAACACATCAGGCCAGTGTGAAGCTCCGCTGGTGAAGACAGATATTCAGTCAAGTTGGTACAAGGATGTGGAGGGCTGTGGTATCCAGTGTGACAACCCTCTGTTCACTGAGGAGGAGCACAATGACATGCATGCCTACATCGCCTACTTCGGGACCATCACCCTCCTCTGTACCTTCTTCACCCTGGTGAGACACAAATATAATACCCATAATTCTGTTTGTTGCTTTGAATTGTTTGGGTACAAAACAATCTCTTACTACAGATATCTCACTTTAAACAAACTTTTCTTTTTCAGGCCACATTTCTTGCTGACTGGAAGAACTCCAACCGCTATCCAGCTGTCATTCTCTTCTATATCAACGCCTGTTTCTTTGTGGGCAGTATCGGCTGGCTGGCCCAGTTCCTGGATGGAGCACGCAAGGAGATTGTGTGCAAGAGCGACAACACCATGCGACTTGGGGAGCCCTCGTATGTGCAAAGGCCCAGCCCATCAGTCATGAGATTAGATTACATCTAGTCTTCACATGTAGACAAAGACCTGAAATCATTCCCAAGCAGAAAAATTCACTAGACGCTGTTGCCTTGTTTTCTGCAGGTCATCAGAGACGCTGTCATGTGTCACCATCTTCATCATTGTCTACTACTCCCTGATGTCAGGTGTGATTTGGTTTGTCATGTTGACCTACGCCTGGCACATGTCCTTTAAAGCCCTGGGCACTACACACCAGCCACTGTCTGGCAGAACCTCCTACTTCCACATGGTCACCTGGTCCATCCCATTTGTTCTCACTGTGGCCATCCTGGCTATCGCTGAGGTGTGGTGGGAGCCATTTGCCTCACAAATTCACACCCTTTCAGACAAAAAAAATGTTTCTTTCATTCAGTTTGACCCCTTTTTTTTATATCTTTGGTTTGTGTTGTCTGGCGCTCAACAGGTGGATGGAGACTCAGTGAGCGGGATTTGCTTTGTGGGCTACAAAAACTACAGATACCGTGCTGGGTTTGTACTGGCACCCATTGGAGTTGTGCTTGTTGTCGGTGGCTACTTCCTCATTCGGGGTAAGCTCACACATTTAGAGCAGCAGCATAATTTGGTCATGTTTTACCTTCAAGTCAGTTCAAATCTCAACTCTTGTATAAAAATAGAAGTAAATGATTATATCAGAGTAGTTCATCTTAAATATTTAATAATTAAACATATCTATTTTGAAGTATTCTCGCTAATATTTGTTATTTAAGTACATTTCTCTTTTTTCAGGTGTCATGACCTTGTTTTCGATCAAGAGCAACCACCCAGGACTACTGAGTGAGAAAGCAGCAAGCAAAATCAATGAGACAATGCTGAGACTCGGTATATTCTGTCATCTGCTATCTTCTTACCAGACTGATGAAGTGAAAATATGAGGGTAAAACCCTTCCTGGTTAAGATCAGCACTGAGACCGGGGTCAAATTAACCGAGGTCAAATATTTAAAGAATCTGGAGCAGTATGTCACTGGGCACATTGAACAAGGAATGCAAACACTTTTGATGGTCTATATGATGTACCAGCCTGTGGGAACTTTGTGTTTACATTGTTTTGTGTAAGTTATCTTCTGTGCAAGAGAAGCTTCATCATATTGAGCAAACATCCCCAGGTCCTGTGTTTGAAATGAGCAAAATATACAAGAAAGATATAAAATAAGGATTTCTGCTATCAGGATTTTACTCATTATTTTCTCTACAGTACCATCTAACATTTTTCCATAACCCTCTGAGGTACATTTTTCTCTCTGCAGTCAAGTTGCTTGGATTCAAGTATCCAAAATTTCATACTGAATTTATTGTTCTTTTTCTCCTTCTCAGGTATATTCGGATTCCTCGCTTTTGGCTTTGTTTTCATTACTTTCGGCTGCCACTTTTATGACTTCTTCAACCAAGCTGAATGGGAGAGGAGCTTCAGAGAGTATGTGCTGTAAGTATTTTTCTTCTTCCTTATTTTTAAGGAAGCCACAATCCTGTGGTCTGCTGTGCTTTTATTGGTTACATACTCAGCTTTACACCTGCCTGCCTCAGAACTACTGTACATCATAATTCAACACAGTTACAGACACCTCTTCAGGTTCACCATTTCGCATAGAGATATCCATAAATATGACACTGTTGAGACTCCAAACGACTGTTCAACTGCTCAACTTGCAGTCCTGAATACAGCCCTATTTCGCCGCAGTGTTGACACTGGATGGATTGGAATTAATTTATCCTCAAACGTGTAAACCACTCTTTTCTGTAAAAACATCTTTATCAGCTCCAGTGTTTAAATACGCCTCAGTCCTTTGGTGTGGCAGGCACATACATCATGGTACACACACTGACTTATCGTCTCTGTGATGTTTTCAACAGATGTGAAGCCAATGTGACAATTGCCTCTCAGACCAACAAGCCAATCCCAGAATGCACCATTAAGAATCGGCCCAGCCTCATGGTGGAAAAAATCAACCTGTTCTCCATGTTTGGGACAGGGATTGCTATGAGCACCTGGGTCTGGACCAAAGCCACCATCCTCATCTGGAAACGCACCTGGTGCAAGTAAGCAAAATCAAATGAACATGAAATCTATTAATTAAGTAAAGAAATAGACAGACTTAGGTTGTATTTATCAGAAACAGAGCATCCCAAAGGCTGTGAAGTTGTTGGAACGGAAAGTATTCTTCTAAGTTAAATTCTGTGTCCAGAGCCGTCTTTCTTTAGGGTCCTCCTTGCTAGCTGAGGCTAACAATATTAATCTCCCTTATCCTGTGTCAGAATTATTGGCCGTAGCGACAATGAACCCAAAAGGATCAAGAAGAGTAAGATGATTGCCAAGGCGTTTGCAATGAGGAAGGAGCTCCACAAGGACCCAGACAAGGAACTTTCCTTCAGCATGCACACTGTTTCCCATGACGGGCCAGTGGGTGAGTGAATCAATGCATACATTAAAATAAATTCTGATGATTCATTTAGAGTAAGCATAAACTGATGAACCCTAACTGAGCAAGTTTTCATTCAGAACACAGAAAACAGTACAGACTTAAGTTTGCATTAAAATATTTCTATAATTATATTTCCACTATTTGTGGTGAAGAATGAAACAGCGGAAGCAATGCCTGTAAAGACGTGTGCATACCTCTACCTTGTGGTAAACAATTGAAGCTGCAAGGAGTCTTATTTGCATTGTTCATGGTGAGGCTTATACCTCATGTTAATACAGTTTTTGTATGGATACTCTTCATAACATGTTTCCTGTGGAAGCTTTGTCTTTTGTAATTTGGGTGAATCCAATGCCTAAACTTTAACGTGCACCATGTTTACCAATATAAGAATTTACTCTTTTTGTGTACCGTGTCATTTTTCATTTAACTTTGGCCTCCAGATTACAAAGAAGACTGCAGGGTCAGTATTTGCACACTGAAGAAGGCATGGCAGAAACATTGCTGCCTTTCCCCTGTGCTGTTATGTGCCAAATATATAGATGTAACAAATTATGGAAGGCTTTTTGTTTGGGTGTGTGGACGTCCTGTGTTCTTTTTGCCCTTGGATGAGTGCAGTGTTCTTCATCTTTCATTTAAATTTGGCCTGAACAGATTTTCCTTTTTTTTGTGACATAAAGGCTACATGGCATAACTGTTGTTCCAGTAACTAAGAAATAAATCACACATTTCCTCTGCTCATATAAGCTGTGAGGCCGTTATGGCTGCCATGTTTATTTAGCTTAAAGCAATTCACAACTACAGTGGCATCACAGAGCAGACATTAAGAGCATCTCAGTCTTATCTTAGTTGATTCTAAATGTTTGTGGTTTGTCTTTTCTCATTTATAGCTGGAATCAATTTTGACCTGACTGAGCCATCTAATGACTTATCATCTGCATGGGCACAGCATGTGACCAAGATGGTGGCTAGGCGAGGTGCCATCCTGCCTCAGGACATTTCTGTTACACCTACTGGTTCACCTGGTAAGAGCTGACAATAATACGCACCGCATTATGGTAAATGGTCTTATACTTGTATAGTGCTTTTCTACGCTTTACAGCACACTCAAAGCACTTTCACACTAGGCCATTCATCCATTAGCACTCACAAACGCTCACACATTCACACACCGGTGTTATCACCGGGAGCAACTGGGGGTTCAGTGTCTTGCTCAAGGACACTTCGACGTGTTGAATGGACAAGCCGGGAATCAAACCGCTAATCCTCCGGTTAGGAAACGACCGACTCTACCTCCTAAGTCACAGTTGCCCCCAAACATTAAACACAGAGCTTTTCAAATCACATTCCCTCATTCATCACTTCTTTCCATTTTTCCTTTTATAACTTTTTCCTTCAATCTTTTGTATTTTGTACCTTCTCTTAATCAGAGGACTGTTGATCACCAGTTTACTTTCTCTTATTTTCTCCGCAGTGCCTCCTCCAGAGGCGAGGAACAGACTGTGGATGGTGGAGGCTGAAATTTCACCAGAGATGATAAAGAGGAAGAAAAAGAAGAAGAAGAGAAAGAAGGAGGTGCGTCCAGTGGAGGAAGCGGTGGATCACCAGACTTACCACCAGCGTGAGTTTGGCCGCAGCTCAGTATCCCGCCTTCCTAAACTGCCCTGCCACCCAAGGCTGGTTGCCAATTTGCGGGAACAGCAGAAGGTGGAGGATGAAGTCCTGCCAGGATCCTGTCTGGACTTCCAACCCTCATATTCTCTCTCCTGTGAGGAGAGACGTCCCCATCTGTCCTGTCAGAGCAGCCGGGACAGCTATGGCCATAACCTGCTCTCTAACCCTCTGACCCTCAATGACCACCCAGAGGATCTGGGTATCAGCATACGCTATCCCCCATCAGCCTCCACCTGGCGGCCCATTGGATCTTTTCACTATCCCGGGGAAGTGGATCTCACCAACGGGCTGTCGGAAAGGTTGGCCCATGTGGCTCGAGTCCCGACAAGCCGAAGGGCCGGCTATGGGCCCATCCATTCTCGGACCATGTTAATGGAGGCAGAACTAATGGATGCTGACTCTGACTTCTAAGCTCCAATAGGTTCTGGCTGTCTCTTTGTGGTGACAGTAAGTTATAAAAAGTGCTGGATACTTTCTTACTAAAGTGCGGCTAGATTTCAATGCCCAGAGATCAAGATGGAATTAAGCTGGTCTGATTTTATTTTCTTTCTCTTTCTCTTTTTTGACATAAAGCAGTAAAGTGAAAAATATGTTATGAATAAGTTAATTATAAAAAAATGTGTACTTTATTTGTGTCCAATAACATTTCAAAGGCAACTCCATGATAACAGTACAAACAAGGCAGCTAAACTGTACATGGCTTGAAACAACATAGACGTCCTTATTCTGAAACCCTGACAGCTCCAGCCAGGGTTGTTTCTGCTGGAGTCAGACAAGTCTGAAATGTCAGAAATTCTAACTGATCCTATCAGGTAATATATTATTTACTAGAAAGAACACTACATTTTTAGGATTAAAAGTGTAATCCTAGAAAACTATTTGAAAGTCAGAAATACCCCGTGATTTATAATAGTTTGAAAAGTCCCAGAGCAGTAAAACCTGATTCATAAAGTCAGCCATATACTGTACAACTCTTTTTGCTCACACTGTTTTTAGTTTTAAATCAAACATAGTAGTTTCCCAACTTCACACTCTGACTATTAACAATAACACACATTATCATTCTTTTCTTCACCGTTTGACATCAGCAAAGTAACAGTAAATTGATTTTATATGCTAAAAGTTACTGAGTTAAAATACATACTAATTATTTGTATGTGCTCTGTTGCCTGGTGCAATAAACACAGTTTATTTTTGTTTGGAGAAAGATTTATTGCAATTACTGTTCAAAATGAATGGCATGACTATCATTTTTTCTCAATGACTTCTCCTTGTATATTACAGGAAATAAATATTTCCATTCATGTGATTCATTTTAAAAGCCTTTTTTCACAGCAGCATTTTTGCTGTTAACCCGTTGTATACATTCACTATAAACAGGACTCTGTGTGTGTTTGCTCTTCTCTTCAGAGCAGTTGAAGGTGTTTTGTATTATGTATTTTCACACTGTTGTGGGTTTAGAAATCTTTTTTTAAATCATTATTTTTCCTAATCTGAAGAAATGCTTCTATTTTTACATTGCTCTCTTTCTGAATGTGTGTACTGTTTATAGGCTGTTTATAGACTTCTCAACAAGTGTAATATTTGTACAAATTTATATATCAAATCACCTGGTTACACTGCTGGCATGATACCCAAAAAGGGAATAGTTAGCCTGTTATAATTAGTTGTCACCGTACTTGTGCTGTAAAATGTCAACTAGTGCAGTCATTAAACTCTCACTGTGGATAAATGACGCTGGGGTAGAGCTTTAGGCAAATTAGTTTTCTGTCAAGTTATTAATGTGAAGTGTATGAGAGAATTATTATTTTGTTAGTAGTAGTTCAATTCAACAATATAATGAGTTTGCCGGCAGAAATAAAGCATAGCTGATATCCACCCAAAAAACTAATACATTAAATGAAGATTATTATGGAAATGAAGTATTACTTTTTGTGATTAGAAAAGTAATAACTTCCGTCATTTGTTTCCCAACTGTGTTAAAAGTTTATTGCTTACAGTGCAGCTGTACCGTTTTGTTTTTTATGTAAATAAAAGCGATCCTACATTTTAGTGTGTTTACTTTGCCGTGTTGTCACAGCTACATGCACAGCTTTCTGCCATGTCAAGTCTGAGAAGGTTAAATCCTACACAGTGATTTTAAAGGATTAAAAATATGTACCCAAATGAATCCACGGGGGATAAAAAGAAAGACATGAGCAGAAAGTAAGCAACTGCCTAGACGACACGCATACGAGACGATAAAAATGATTTAAAATGTTTCACTCCTCCATATCAGTCCGCCCGGTCCTCCCCCAGCCCCAGCCCCACCCCCACCTCTACCTAGTTTTGTTGCGCGGCGTGGGCTCGGTGACTGCACAGTAGACGCTCAGGGCAGGAGATGGAACTTTGAAGCACAGACGATACAGGGGCGACACTCGGGGAATAAACAGACAAAATGTCGCAGAAAATGCCTTCGTTGATGCCAGAAGATGTGGAGAACCTGCGGAGAAGGTCCGTGGCTGAATGTTCAGGTGAGACCGAACTACTTCGCTTCTGTCTGAGCTTTGTCCTTAAACCTGCGTTCATACAACTCGCACCTCGTGTTTATCGCCTCACAGCGGATTTAAAATCGCTAGATGTGAATATTTCTTTGGGTTTTGTGTGTGTGTGTTTTTTTTTTTTTTGCTCGTTTTACCTCTTGCTTTGTTTTAAGTGTGCTCATCAAATTCACCTGTGCTGTACTTTCCTCCAGTCTGAGCCAAGCATTAAAACTAGACACAGATGAGGATTATACTTTAATAGTATTAATTAATTAATTGCCTTTTGATTATCCCAGCTTGGCAGTCGATGCTCACATTGTTAGTTCCATGGTTTGTCTCAACAGTGAGCTGAACTGATTGTTCCTGACCTTCATTTCTCAGCCAAGTTCTCTCATTCACACAATTCACGTTGTGTTTTACAAAATATTCCACGTGGATATTTTTTGCAGAGTTGAAAGTTGGTTCTTAATTTTCAAGTCTTTCATCGTGTGGCTTCCAGTTGCATCTATCTACTATCCAATTAAAGTTTTACTGTCTAATCTTTTATCAGACATGATGAGTGACAGTTTGGAGCAGGAGACAGTAAAAACCAGTATCCTTCTGTTTTAATTAAAAAAAAAATTAAAAAAAAAGCAATATATCCAATGGACCGGCTTCTGTCATCCTTGATCACACCACCCGTTTTTGTTTGTCTCCAGTTTTGAGTGAACATTTTTCCACTGCTAAACTGACAAAGACTCAAAGCCTGTTAAAGTATTCCTAAATGTGCTGTGCCTTTCTGAATCCATAACTCTTTTCTGCAGAAAACCATGTAGATCCTGAACAGCAGCCACGGCTACCATCCCAAACTGACAGGCTCTCTGTTGGCCCCCAGTACCCAGAGCTCAACATAGTGGAAGCATCCCCTATAGATGCTTCTGCACACCACGTCTGCCACTATGCACCAAAATGCTTCCTCACTGTCCACAGAGGTGAATAAGATATAAATTGGTACCAGAAGAAAGTAATTAAAACAAGCATAGTTGCATTGGAAAATGTTTACTTGTTAAAGAAACAAAGTCAGCTGAGCTGTAGTTTCCTCCAGTTTAGGCTAAACATTAAAACCACTTCCTGAACATTGTGTCTGAAATCAAATGTTCTTCCTTATACTTTAGTGCTGATTGTCTTGTGATGATCACGTCTTTGCAGTCCTACTGTAGCAGATGCTCACATTGATAGTTTAATGGTGTCATTGTCTGATTAGGAGTTTACATCAGGTACTGACATTCTCTGACAGCAGAAACTGATACTACCTGACATTCATTTTTCAGCCAAGTTCTCGAACATTCTCTGACAGCAGAAACATACTTCGTGACATTCATTTTTCAGCCAAGTTCTCGCATCTAACCACAACTTTGTTTTCATAATTTATCATATAGATGCTTAATATTTCCTGTTGATATTATTTTTCTGGGAGTTTAAAGACAATATTTCTTTATTTTATCATGTGGCTTCCATATGCATCCAGTATTTACCTATTGCTCCATTAAATTAACTTTTACTGTACATCTTCTATCAGACATGATGAGTATGTTTGAGGCATGAAAGTCTGCTTCTCATGGACAACCTTATAAGAAGATGGACTGTATACAGTACAACCAGAATGCTTATGTTTTAATTTCAAAACATAAGAATATCGCACTACATTTTCTTTGCTGTGTTGCCATGCATTGATAACATGATCAGTCTTGGCAAAGTAGGGGAACAGGGGGCACTCTGATTCTCAATAGGTTTTCTGTTAGTCACATTTCCATGGGGCAACTGAAGAGTTTTGGCTTTAGATGTCAGTCAATCTCAAATGCAGTTAGACCCCTCAGTGAAATGACTGTGTGGCCATATTCTTCAGTACATCATCTCCAATCTTAAGTCAGCATTTTTCACTGCTGAACTTAATGCACCATGCTTTTGTAAATTCATAACAAAGTTTTCCATTTTATTTCCTTATCCAGAGAACTCTATAGGTCATGAACAGGATCACCATTTTCCATGGCGGCCACCCCAAGCTGATAGGCTCTGTGTTGGCCCCCATCATCCAGAGCTAGGCACAGCAGAGACACCTCCCCCAGATGCTTCTGCACACCACTTCTGCCACTATGCACCAAAATGTTTCCTCACCGTCCACAGAGGTGAATAATTCAAACAAGCACAGTTGCTCTGGACAATGTGAACGTGTTAAAAACATCTCTCGCAAAAATGCGCTGCTACAGTAAGATTTCTTTGCCCAAAATTGGGGCTAAAAACAATCTGTAACTGAAATTTCTGAAAAGCTCTGCACACATGTGCATTGGAGATGTTCAAATGTACAAAGAGAGAATTAAAGTGCAAGTAGTCATGTTTTGTCAGAAGAGTTTTCTAATAGTTGTCTGCATAGGAGGACATGGCACCTCAGCCTGGTCTATTTCATCACGGCATGGAGAAGAGGGTTGGCATGAAGCCACCACAAGGACTACAGTCCGAGCTGAGAATGAGGTGGAGGCACACAGGGAAGCCAACAACTACAAGGTAAGCCATGACTTGGGTGCAGGAGAGTATTTGGGGTTTTGTGCTGCCTAAGCAATAGCAACATTTAAGAGGTGGGGACATCCAAGTTATCTGCTTGTTTTCACACAGTTGCATTCTGTACCTGCATGGAACTGACTACACTGATCTCTACTCAAAGTTGTTTTGGTAAAATATATTGTGCCCATTCTATTTAGCATACTAAGAATCCCAAAACACATTTCTTTTTAGTTTGGCTTCAGAAAGTGGAAGGGCCATGTAACGGAGAGGCCCATTGAAGACAGATCAGACATCGTCAAAGAGCTGTACTCTGATCTCAGCATTGTTAAGCCTCAAAAAGGTGCTTTCCCCTCTTTGCGCTTGAATTCATTTTAACAGGAGCTGCATAATTGTACAAAGCTTTAATCTGTTTTTTATGAAACTTCCTCTCTTTCAGGCTCAGTGGTAACCTTTGGGAACATAGTTTATGTATTTTTATTTGGATGGTGGATGTCTTTAATCTACTTCCTCATATGTCCTGTAATGTTTCTCACAATCTGTGGTGCCCCTTATGGTAAGTATTGTATAAATAGCAACATTACTCACTATTGTAGTTGTTCCTAAATTTGGATATTTTGGATATTTTTAGGCAAACTTTGTTTGAAGATGGCGTGGTACTTCATTTGGCCCTTTGGGAAGTTGGTAGGGAAGGTAATATGATATATAGTGTCCTAGCTTTTTAAGTAATATGTCTTTGCATTCATACATTACTTGGTTTTACAATAAATCATACCAACTGTTATCATTAAATTTTTCAGGCTTGTTATCAAGTGAAGAGACCCAGTGCGAAGCCTCCAAAGTGCGAAATCATTCCTGAAGGGGACACTGAAGACGGCAAAGACCTTGCCAGGGACAAGGAATCTGCACCCCTTATGGTCCCAACAAGGGTTAAGGAGGACTTAACCCCTGTTGGGATCCCTTTCCCAGGACTGCCAGCTAGAAAAATGTCAAAGCACTGGGTAAAAAAGTTATTTTGACCTTAATTGTGTGGATGCTTTACAGCATCCACACTATTCTTTCCTGTTCTTTATTGTATGCATGCTGAAAGCGTCCATACTATGTTATCCTGTTCTTTATTGTATGCATGCTGACTCAGCATCCATACAGTGTTTTCCTTGTCTTTATTTATTATTATTCTTCTGTACGTTTTTTGGCCCTTAACTACTTCAGCATACTTTCAGCTAGAAAAACCATTAATTTTCAAAGTTTTGCCCCATTCAAATGAATAGGGAAATTCTGCACGCATACTTTCAACTATTTCGGGTATCAGAATGTTCAGGTCATCAAGGACATTCATGCTTCTCTTCAGTATTTTTCTAAACTTCATACTTTTGAAATATTTAGCTTTATTTTGAAAATCTTGCCCCATTCAAATGAATGGGGAAATTCTACTTCAGCATACTTTCAGGTATGAAAATGTTCAGCTCTTCAAGGACATTCATGCTTCTTTTCAGAGTTTTTCTAAACTTCATACATTTATAATACAGTCAGGGAAAAAATTATTTGAACCCCAGCTGATTTGGTAAGTTTGCCCACTAACAACGAAATGATCAGTCTACAATTTCAATGGTAGGTTAGTATCAAAATATTCAGATCCTCAAGGACATTCATGCTTCTATTCACAATTTTTCTAAACTTCATACTTTTGAAATATTTAGCTTTATTTTGAAAATCTTGCCCCTTTCAAATGAATAGGAAAATTCTACTTCAGCATACTTTCAGCTAGCAAAATCATTCGGGTGTCAAAATGCTCAGCATTTTCAGGTCGATCTTTCAGCACTCAGCATCCATATGCATTTTCTTCAGAAAATGCATTTTTCTAGTTGTGTGGATGGTGTGAAGCATCCACACTGTTATCCTGTTTTTTATTATTCTGATTTTCTCCATCTGTTTTTTGGCATTTAATTTCTTCAGCATACTTTTCAGCTGTTTCAGGTATCAAAATGTTCAGCTCTTCAAGGACATCCATGCTTGTCTTAAGGATTTTTCTAAACTTCATACCTTTTGAAATATTTGGCTTTATTCTGAAAATCTTGCACCATTTAAATGAATGGGAAAATTCTACTTCAGCATACTTTTAGCTATTTCAGGTATCAATGTTCAGCTCTTTTATGGACATTCATGCTTCTATTCGGAATTTTTCTAAACTTCATACTTTTGAAATATTTAGCATTATTTTGAAAATTTTGCCCCCTTCAAATTAATAGTATAATTTTACTTCAGCATACTTCCAGCAATTTCGGGTATCACAATGTTTAGCTATTCCAGGACATTCATGCTTTTCTTCAACATTTTTCTACATTTCATACTTCTGAAATATTTTTGCTTTACTATGAAAATTTTTCCGCTTTCAAATGAATGGGGAAATTCTACTTAAGCATACTTTCAGGTATTTCAGGTATCAAAATGTTCAGCTCTCCCAGGGCATTCATGCTTCGTGTTATGGTTTGTCCCCCTCACCAGGAGGGTGAGGGAGAACTGTGGTAGGACTCAAGATTGCAGACCCAGGTGCTAGTAAAACAAGGGGGTTTAATGGAAAAAGACACAAAGTAACAACGTAACAAAGTCCACGTACATACACAATCTGGGTAGGACAGAGATGGTTCCACCAGGACGAACAGGTGAGCACACAGGCTAATGACAGGAACCAGGAGAGTAGGAGGAGCAGGACGGACAGGTGAATAGACAAACTAACGTCTGGCTAACCTCATGGGGGAAAAAAAACATACGAACAGATCTACAGCACAGGAACTGTCAGCGTGTACGTCTAGAGACGTATAACACAAAACATGTAACCTACGTACAAAACAGGATCCACAGCACAGGAACTGTCAGCGTGGAAATCAAGATGATGTGTGACACATACCATGACTATAGGTAAGTTAGGTATATAGGTATAAGTTCTGTTAATGCTCCGGTGCACGACGTAGCGTCTGCCAGAGGTAGGACAGTTAAAATAAGGTAGGACAGTCATTACAGCAATGCACCTCAGCTGTGCGCGACGAGTCACTAATTACAGCAAGCGACACAGCTGAGGTGCTGATCCCACAAAAAGGAAAGAGCAGGAGAGAGAAAGATAAAAGAGAGGCATGTCTCCCTGAGCGGACCTGACACTTGGACTCAGAATTTTTTTTGCACTTCACACTTCTGAAATATTTAGCTTTATTTTGAAAATCTTGCCCCATTCAAAATAATTGGAAAATTGTACTTCCGCATACTTTCAGATAGATAAGCCTTTCAGGTGTCAAAATGTTGCACGACGTAGCGTCTGCCAGAGGTAGGACAGTTAAAATAAGGTAGGACAGTCATTACAGCAATGCACCTCAGCTGTGCGCGACGAGTCACTAATTACAGCAAGCGACACAGCTGAGGTGCTGATCCCACAAAAAGGAAAGAGCAGGAGAGAGAAAGATAAAAGAGAGGCATGTCTCCCTGAGCGGACCTGACACTTGGACTCAGAATTTTTTTTGCACTTCACACTTCTGAAATATTTAGCTTTATTTTGAAAATCTTGCCCCATTCAAAATAATTGGAAAATTGTACTTCCGCATACTTTCAGATAGATAAGCCTTTCAGGTGTCAAAATGTTCAGCATTTTCAGGGTGATCCTTCGGCACATGGCATCCACACGCATTTTCAACAGGAAATGCATTTCTCTAGTTATTATTCTGGGATCTTCCACCCTTTTTTGGCACTTTAAAAATTCCAGCATACTTTCAGCTATACAGGCCATTGAGGTCTTTTATCTGTTCAACTCTTCAGTGACATCCCTGCTTGTACTCAACTTTTTTCATAACATTTGCTTTTTAATTAATTCAGCTTTATTATTTGCAATACAAGTCAGTGGGGGCTCAAAGTGCTGATTCAATGACAGTCTTGAAGTGCCATCTGGTGGTGCATAAAATGCAGCGCAATTGGGACAACCCCCCCCCCCAGCTCACCTACTTTTGGGGTCCATTTGGACTATTTTCACATCTTAAGTTCAGCATGCTTTCAGCTAGCAAAGCCATTCAGGTATCAAAACGTTCAGCTCTTCAAGGCCATTCCTACTCTATTGCATCTCATCCTTCAGGTTATTCAACCAAGAACTTCAGCCATTTCTTCTCATCTTTCAGCTGTTTCAGCACTTGGTTTCAGGCATTTTCAGGACGATCTTTCAGCTTTTATCAGCATCCACACGCATTTGACAGGAAACGCATTTCTCTAGTGACATGATGCAATGGAAACTTCATTAATATTTTGTTTTATTCTTTGATTCTGTCCTCTGCAGTGTCGCATTAGTACTTGTGTTTGGTTACTACTGGGTTACCCTGTCCTGGCTGTGGTCCACTCCCTGGCCTGTGTACTCTCCTGGTTTCTGGTCTTTACCATCCCTGTAGCCAAGATGAGTGCTCGCACACTGAGCACTGTGCTCCTCATGGCACCAGAGGATGTCCAGATCCACAGATTGGAAAAGGTACGTGGTAATCTTCTACAGTGCCAGTGGTTAGTCATAAGAAGGATGTCAAGGCAAGAAGGTATGCAATATTTGCTTTCAATTTCTGTGCTGGTCATGCTTGATGTAGTAGCAACCACAAGGTTTATGCACCTCCACATCAGCAATAGCTGTGGCTGGAAGCATTGTGTTTTGGGGTTGTATGTCTATCCATCTGGCCCATACTTGTGAATGTGATATCTTAGGATCACCTTGAGGGATTTTCTTTGAATTTTGCACAAACTTTCCCTTGGACTCGAGAACAAATGATTAGTGTGTCTTTGAGTTTTTTTTTTTTTCCTAAGTAGTTGGTTCACCCAACTTAAAAAGAATGTAATTCTCAGTGTGTCTAACTGGTACCTGTAGTGTACATAGTTTTGTTTTTACTTGCAAAGGTTTTGCAGTGCACCTAACCTTGTGGATAGTTTTCATTCAGGCTTGACTTCAATGGAAAATAGTTCCTAATGTAAAGCGACACTAACATTGGTGGGTTAGCCGGAGTAAACTGGACACTGCTTATGAAAGGACATATTGCCGATTTGTTAGTTGAGATGAGTGTTTTATGTTCTTCTTTGCAGGGACTTGTTTCTGAGACCAAAGTCGTCCTGTGCTGTTATCAAGCATCTAATGTGTATTACTACAAATACACCGTCCAAGGATTCAACATCTTTGGTCTCAGTATCCTTTTTGGGTTGTTGGCTCTAAAGTGACAAAAGTAAGGGGCTTGTTAGAAAAATGCCAAGAGGTCAGCTATGCCACTGTTAGATTGCATTTCAAAGTACTGGGTGTGCAGCTAGCTGCATCTACTATAGCTGGAGACAGGAAAACCCTGAATGATATTTCTGGTTTAAACAAGCAATACAAGCCAATAATCGAGGACAGCTTAATTTGTACTGGTCTGTCCACTGTGTCTATTTGCTTTCCTTAAATGTTCCCTGTAGACCTGCTTCCTCTGGTGTTGACTAGTTTGGTTATTGGCTATACTGACAGTGAACACCGATACTTCAGTTCAGAGGTCAAATTTGCTACAGCCATCACTTCCATCATTCCTCTGTCCTACTATATTGGCATGGGAATAGCCAGGTAAAGCTTTAACATTTTTTCCTGATGACCAAGTAATGACATGTCTAAGGAGAAAGAGGGTAAGTACAGACCGGGGGGCGTACTCAGTTCTTGCTACTGACCAATATTATTTTGCTCATGTATTTTGATGAACAACATTGAATCAGTGGTTTATTGGCATCTGTTCATGGTCCCACAGCATTTCTGCACAGAGTAACTTTGCATTGGGAGCGGTGGTAAATGCGACTTTTGGCTCCATCACAGAGCTGACGTTCTATATCACAGCACTGCTGCGGGGTCACCGTGCTGCCAGCAAATGTTATGAAGAGATTGTCAAAGCTGCACTCACTGGGACCCTGATTGGCTGTATATTGTTCATACCTGTGAGTTTACATATCAGTTAACATGCAGGATTATGATCTTTTCGGTGAAGACTGCATGTTCTCTCTGAACTTATTTATTTGTAATGACTACAGCTGCATCCTTTTCACTGTGAGATTCAAGACTGATATTGATGGAAGGATCCTCACAATCATGTACCCATCTTTTGGTGTGTGTGTGTTTATCAACTGCACAGGGTGTTTGTATGATCATTGGGGGCATTAAACACAGTGAGCAGCAGTTTAACAGTCGTTCAGCCGGAGTGGGCTCAGCTTTGCTCTTCATATCCATAGGAGGTATGTACTGTTTGACATCTGCACATATAACTCATTTTTAAACAATATCTCAACCAACAGGCTCATAAAACTCCAAAACTTGATGTTGTAATATTGTCCCTAGGTGTGTTTGCTCCCACCCTCTTCTCCAAGACCTTTGGTAATTTGGTTTGTGAAAGCTGCACCAATGTCCCAGACAATGCCAGTGTACCCTTGAACTGCAAGAGCTGTCACTACGACATGGTGGGCAGCTTCTTCTTAATGTCCTCCAGCTTCTAGCTCTCTTGATTGTGCTGTCTTAGTATACTGTCGTAGATCAGCTCAAGCAACAGAGCAACCGTTAGCAAGTTCGGGTGCACTTATAAAATTTCAGAAATGGCACTTGGAAATTCCATGTACAGTGGCTTTTTTGGTGCCTCATTGCTTTTTTGTATTTAAACACATTACAGATGTTCTCATTCATGACAAAGTAACGTGTTTAATTGCTGTCTTCATGAACTTGTTTTAGGAAATTTGCCTTTACAAGCTTGTATGATTTACTTTTCATTGTCATTCTTCTCAACAGAGTCAGACTGGCCCACATTTGATCCTGTCTAATATTGAGTAAGTTCAGGTGCTCCAAATTTTCCAACATGTTTCAAATGTACTTAATTGTGTGTTGACTCAATTGTTCATTTTCAAAAATGTTTCCTAGGCCTCTGGTGTACACAATTTCAGTGCTGCTGCCAGCTGCATACTTCATTGGTCTCATCTTCACGCTGAAGACCCACTCGCACATCTATGATATCCAGATCAGTGGTGAACAAGGGGGCCATGCACATGGTCAGTATACACAAGAGGGTACCAGCCCACTGGTGAGGTCACTGCTGGCTGTCTACTTATCACAACAGGTGTGTGGGGTGTGCATGTGGGGTTAATCTTTTGGGTGAATAAGTATAAAATGTTTGTTAATCACTGACTGCATGTTATCAGTTTTATTAACTTGTGTTGAGCATGTGAATCACAGAAGGAGCATGTTTACCTTGCAGTGAGGCGGGATTGTCTGTGCACATCAAAACTACACCTTCTGAATCAATGTGGAAGCAGAGAACTTCCCTCAACAGTGAGGCAGACCATCAAATATTAAAGCTGTGCTTGTTGGTTAACTTAGTTGGTATGTTTCCAACAGGTCATGTGGTCCACTGGTCCCGGTGGAGGGCTCTTGCAGTGCTGATTGTTGCCACAGTGCTGATGGCCTGCTGCGCTGACCTCAGCACAGACAACATCCAGCCCTTACTGTCCCATTACTCCATCTCCCAGGTATTTAAAACACTATTTTGAATTAGGACAATGTCTCTTGGTTCACAAGATAATTTAGTTTGCAGTAGGTGCAAGCCTTCCATTCAAGTTAAAACCCTGGAATAGAAATATTCAGGTTAACACAGAAAAGCATAGTTTACAACAAGAGGTACAAGAAGAAAAATAATGTATATGGAAATTAAATGTACTTGATTTAGGTCAAAAGTAACCAAACAACAAAGGGTGTTCAGTGTCTTGTTTGTAATGTTTTATCTGTATGGTCTTGCTTCTTTGTGCTGAGGCTTATCTGCTTTCTTGCAGTACTTCATTGGTGTCACAGTGTTGGCCATGGTGCCAGAGCTTCCTGAGATTGTCAATGGGATCCAGTTTGCATTGCAGAACAACATCAGCCTGAGGCATGAGTACACTGTGCTGTAGTGTAATTACTGCAACAAGTCGCCTGAATGTTTTGACATCTAATAGCTTTACTCCTGCTTTGCACAATGGAAAATAAGGACACAATAATTCATTACTCACATATAAAGGCACTATGGGAAGGTTTCTGTGTTTTGAACATTTTTAATCATGTCTTTTGTCTTGTGCAGCCTTGAAGTGGGTAGCTGCATTGCTGTGCAGGTCTGCATGATTCAGATTCCACTGCTTGTCCTCTTCAATGTATTCTATGTAAGTTAAAATGTTTTGCAGATCATTTTTATGCACATTTGTTTCCATAATGATATTGGCAATTATTTTTATTTATTTATTTTTTTCCCAGGATGTTGGATTTGTGCTCGTGTTTAGTGATATTCATCTGTGGGCCAGTATCTTTAGTGTCATTCTGGTCAACTACATCTTCATGGATGGAAAATGTGACTACTTCCAGGGTAAGTTGTGTTAAAGTGATTTCCCCCGAGCAGAAATTGACATCTCACTTCACAAGGATTGACAGAAAATGTGTTTGCAAAATGTGGATGTGCTGTAGATTATAATGGACTTTCTGTCTACAGGCACTGCTTTAGTGGTGGTTTACCTCATCCTTTTGGCTGTTTACTTCTTTGCACCTTCTCCAGGATCTTGTTGATCTGCTTGCCATGAAATATATTGAAGGTCCAAAAATGTATGACACTTAGACTTTGAGTATTTGTATAATCTTCAAGTGGTGTGTGTGTTCAGTGGCACAAAAGATGGAAAAAGAATTGGATTATGTTTTGAATATCACAGTGGAACTGTAAGTGAACAGCTGTCTGCTTTTCGTGAACATATTGGATGATATTTTGTGTGCTTTAAACATTTCTCCAGTTTTGGTTTTGCTCTTGTATTTAAATATAAAATAGTTTGTTGGAATTAATAAATGCATCAATTTATAAAAATTGTCTATAAAAAGACCTGTTTTTCAACCAGTGCTACACCAACTTCATTAGCAGGGTTTTGTATATACGGTAGAACACATGCTATTTTCATTTGTGCCACATTTTTATATCTTGGGTCTCCAATTTCTGACTCCATACATTTCAGTGACACACTTAAAAGGACAAAAGGCATGCACTTTGTTGATCTTGTGTATATTTTCACAGTAGAATAGAAATTCATGCAAAAATAGCCTTAAGTAGAAAATAAAACAAGCTGTTTTATGTATCGTGCTAATTAGTTACATTCACAGGAGCTTACTATACTGTACAACATTCTAGTGATCACCTTTAAAATAAGGTAAAGACTTGATGGTAATACAAAAATAGGCAGTGACATCATGCACCAAGTAATTTGTAATATGGAGCAAAAATAAGGAATGATAAAGAAGTGCAGGCAGATTCGTGCATTTGTGGGAGGCATCAAACTATTTAGCAACATCTCATTCTGACTGAAAATTCAATTGCTCACTCCTTTTTATAATCATAGTTCAAGGTGCAATGTTATTTGGCTTCAGTTAAACTAATTAAATACATTAACTATATAAGCAATACTGCCTTGAAACATTTAAGGGCTTTTAGGACTTAGACCCAGAAGACTCAGTATGCTGCACCCTGTATTAGTCTGCTCTTTACTTTCAGGAAGAGAAGTCTTCGACACCAAGATTGGGTACAGTATCACAATTTGTCAACATGTAGAGTGTAAATAAGAAATGGCTGAATTAAGTGATTAAAGTGTCTAAACATGCAAAGACCTTGTACTTAAAATTTCAACTCCATTACAAGTTTGGAAAAGGCGCTGC